TACTCTTTCTTAGGAAACCTTTTAGTGATGTGTCATAGATCTTTTTTTGACATTTTATTTCTCTGGTGTCTTAAGCGTGGAGTTCAAACTACAGCATCATGCTGCAACTGAGGCTAAAGATTCTGAATGTTTAATTGAGCATCTCTTCAGCCATATATTAGCGGCCGCTATGCAACATGAATGTGGTAGTGACAACCACCTCTCTTTCTTGACCTATTTTCTTAAGACTCCTCGACCAAGAACATTACCCATCTCACGACCAATTATCATTCCATGATAACTAATCCAAGACCAGCAACCCCTACATAACTTCATAACATAACAACCCCACATAACTTCATAACATAACAACCCCCACATAACTTCATAACATAACCACCCACATAACTTAATATCTTGCTGGAAATCGTGTTCCTCCTGCAAGGTGGAAGCGAGAGGTAACTATGACATGAACTTTTCTCCACAAAATATATTTTACCCAGATATTTCCTGGACTACCTAGTCTTAGTGGACTGTAAGGCAGCGAAGCTATTATTATTATGCTCAGTCATTTGGTGCATTTGTTAGGTAATCTATAATGCTAAGCTTAAATAATATCTAATATAACTCAAATATTCAAATTCATATATTTTGGCTTTGTAACATTTTAAATGATTACAGTGTAAATAGTATGTATGGACATTTACATATGTTATAATGAAATTAATCATTTATTATAAAATCAGAGATTTCTAAAATATTTTAAAGATGACATAAGTACAAGATCTATAATGCCAGGTCATAATTTTTTTGGCAAAGCTGACAGTGATTATTTGTGCTACCAGACCACCACACTCATATAAATATGGAATCCTTTTACATTTTTCAGTCATCAAGTATTCCGTCACAACCTCGCATGTGCTTGCCTGGTAAAACTCACTGAACGGTACAGCGATGATCTCGCTTCATGCAGGTCAGAGTTTAATCCCCGACCGTCCAAGTGGTCGGGTATCACCTCCCTTACAAGCGCTCTATCGTAATGGTTTAGTGCATTCTCCTGATAATTACCTTACCTTAAACCACACAGACGTCTTGCTCATTACCAGGAGGACTCACCCTTGAGGCCACCACCTGGAGGTGGTACTCCAAGACTCACCCTTGAGGCCGCCACCGTCCACCACCTGGAGGTGGTACTCCAAGATTCACCCTTGAGGCCGCCACCGTCCACCACCTGGAGGTGGTACTCCAAGACTCACCCTTGAGGCCGCCACCTGGAGGTGGCACTCCAAGACTCACCCTTGAGGCCACCACCTGGAGGTGGCACTCCAAGACTCACCCTTGAGGCCACCACCTGGAGGTGGTACTCCAAGACTCACCCTTGAGGCCGCCGCCGTCCACCACCTGGAGGTGGTACTCCAAGACTCACCCTTGAGGCCACCACCTGGAGGTGGTACTCCAAGACTCACCCTTGAGGCCGCCGCCGTCCACCACCTGGAGGTGGTACTCCAAGACTCACCCTTGAGGCCACCACCTGGAGGTGGTACTCCAAGACTCACCCTTGAAGCTACCACCTGGAGGTGGTACTCCAAGACTCACCCTTGAGGCCACCACCTGGAGGTGGTACTCCAAGACTCACCCTTGAAGCTACCACCTGGAGGTGGTACTCCAAGACTCACCCTTGAGGCCGCCACCGTCCACCACCTGGAGGTGGTACTCCAAGACTCACCCTTGAGGCCGCCACCGTCCACCACCTGGAGGTGGTACTCCAAGACTCACCCTTGAGGCCACCACCGTCCACCACCTGGAGGTGGCACTCCAAGACTCACCCTTGAGGCCGCCACCGTCCACCACCTGGAGGTGGCACTCCAAGACTCACCCTTGAGGCCACCACCTGGAGGTGGCACTCCAAGACTCACCCTTGAGGCCGCCACCGTCCACAGCCACCACCTGGATGTGGTACTCTGGTGTAGTCTCACGGTCCAGGCAACAGATGGCGGTGCGGACGAGGCCGGTCTCTGGGTTGATGGCGAAGATGGCCTGGCCTGACCGTTCCTCCATCACGTTCTTCTCAATGGTGTAAGTGAGGAGAGCGTTGGTGCCTTCCTTCTCGTCGTCCGCGTCCCACGCCCACACCACGCCCACCGACAGGTCTGAGGACAGGAGATACGGCATTAATCCACTAGTATACTAACATTACTATGTTATAGGGCAAGTAGAAAAGACAGAAATAACCCAACAGTAATCTGTAAGTGAACATGTATCACAATTTCTCCATAGCTGTGTCCATCCACTAGGACTGGTCGGTACAGCGAAGACTTTGTATCTTACACCAACCTGTCCTTCTACAAAGAACGTCGCTTTCCGCTCGTATGCGTTACATAAGGCCAACAATTGTCTTACTAGCAAATGGAACCGGCTGGCGAAAGTGACGAACCGTCCCGTTTTCTGTTTTGGGTCCTCTGGTAGGTTAGGAGACGACACTTTAAGTTGACCGTTTTCTTGACGCTGGGAAACCTTAGGAGGACGGGCTGGTTACAGTGACCGAGTTTGACTCCCCATGGTTCAAGTAGTTGGACACTGTTCCTTCACTCAATCGTCGTATTCCAGCTCCTTGTCCTCATATCCCTTCCAAGAGCGATGTAGTCAGGAAGACTTAGCGCTTTCTCCTCACAATTACCTTACACCACAGATATCAAAATACAAACTTCATATATATATATATATATATATATATATATATATATATATATATATATATATATATATATATATATATATATATATATATATATATATATATATATATATATATATATATATATATATATAATTCGTACATCTCTTTCAGTCGTCTAGCGTAAATGTAAGCTAGCCACCATGACCGTCCCAGTCACTACTCACTGGTCTTAAATAAACCCTCTCCCCAGGATCTACACTATACCCAGCTTGTGGCACCACACTGACACACCCACATGCTGACAACACCTCCCGACTACAACACCCCGGCCCCACTATACACTCCTCGTGATGCTGTCTCTTCCCTCCATCTCACTCGGCTAAAAATCCAGCCGTTTCGCTTAACCCAAACTGTATTATCCCTTGCAACTCAGTTTGTAGGACCGGCGCCAACCTCATAGGCTGTGGCATAGAGCCTAACTAAGATCGTTATTTTACCTCACGGTGCGTGACAGTGTTGAAGATCATCATCTAATACCAGGTGATGAAAACGAGGGATCGCATGTAAGAAACAGTTTAAAGGGGGATAACAGAGGAGAAATATTTTCACTCTATATCAGGTGAGTACAACCAATTGGGAGTGGACGGTAGAGCAACGGTCTCGCTTCATGCAGGTCAGCGTTCTATCCCAGACCGTTCACAAGTGGTTGGACACCATTCCTTTCCCCCCGTCCCATCCCAAATCCTTATCCTGATCCCTTCCCGATGTTATATAGTGGTAAAGGCTTGGCGCTTTCTCCTCATAATTTCCCTCCCCTCTCCATCAGGCGAGTTGAAGTTAAAAATAATAACGATATCCTAAAATTAAGTGAATCTTCTTACTTTTACAATTTTGGAGAAAATAGTGTGTAAAGCTGAGACCTTAAACGCCAAACTTTATCAGCAGCCGCAGAGCAGCGAAGGTGGGCGGCGATGGTGGGCGGCCCAGATGCGCCGCCCAGGTGCGCGGCCCAAAAGCAAGGGCCAGGTACGCTGTCAAGTATATGTTAATATTCGTACGAACAAGTGTCTGAGGACGGGACCAAAGAGCACGACTCTGCCAAGACGAGCGACGCACCTGGACCACCAGGACCAGCTGGGAGAGAGGTAATGAAGTACACAAATGAGATCTAAAGTAACACATACAAACACGACTCTTGTAGTGGGATGGTTTGTGACTCAGCTGGGTGCCACTAGGGACCTGGCACTACGGCTGGTGACTCAGCTGGGTGCCACTAGGGACCTGGCACTATACGGCTGGTGACTCAGCTGGGTGCCACTAACCGCTAGGACCCGTCACTGCGGCAGCCTGACTGACCCCTCGACAAAGGCGGTACAGATAACGCAGCTGACCAATGCGTACAGCTAGGACCAGGCTGCCAGAACTCTTACTCACGCGAAGACTCACCAGACACAATCATGTTTACTGTATTTTCTAAACAAATATATGCAGGTGGGTGTGCAGTTTCTGCCAGTTAACACTTGCATATTTCAGGTGTTAGTTCTCCAAACATGCTACAACACCTGCCTGGCTATTTTGCGCAAATTAGACATCTGTCAAGTCGCATGTAAACTGCAGTCATGAGGGACACAATTTGAAATTCTTCCTCAGAGACTCAACCGGAAGTGGACCAGCCATTAAATTAAATATCTTCTTGGTGTCTGTAGTAAATTCATCTAAGAGCGTCTACCATTAACAAATATACACTGCCACACAAATAATATTTTTTGTCTTACATTTTGTCATAATTAAGTATTAAAGGCTCAGTAAACTAAGAACGGCCAGGGCAGACCTCCAGGGTACACCAACACATATCTAGGTAAACCAACACCAACCACAGTAGACCAATATGTGTGAGAAACTAGGTCTCTATAAGTGAACAAATCCATAAGGGCCGTGACGAGGATTCGAACCTGCGTCCAAGAGGTCTCTCTAAGTGAGATTTAATATAGAAGATAAAAAGAAAGGGAGTATACCACCTCTGGCTGGAAGCAGGGGACCCTTAGCCTCGGAGAAAAGCACACATAACGCATTAGAGGAGATTTTTTGGTCGCCTCCTATACAGTTTCAATGTTCTTTTACCAGGATAAAATAAATCTAGGGAACTCACGCAACACATACGGCAACATGCTCCTTATTAATGCAGTTTACAACTGATTATTAAACGGCTACTAAAGTCACACCAGACAGTCCCAGTAACACGCATTGATGTTACTTGACCACCACACGTGGTGACACTAAGAAGCAATCTTGATAAAGCTGCATTTCATGAGTCAAATTTGAGGAAAATACCTTCCCTTCTCACACACCATTCACTACAAAATTTCTTCTCATTAGTACTGTGCACAAAATTTTAAAACCTTCTAATTGCAGTCTAGTTTTGAAGATTTGTATTAAAACTGCTGATTGATGATCCTTCTCATAGATTAAACTTTTGCAACTATTTTTCTGAAGTGTTGTATGTCCATACGACATACGAGGTATTATGGTGTATGTTCATACACCGGGTCGTGCTGGAGAACAGCATAATATTTAGTTACTTACAATCATATCCCGGTGTCATGGAAGAGAACGATTTGTTTGTTATTCAGGACGCTTATCCACCAGAAACAATTACCGAATCATGAGTCACTGGAAGACCTCCCGGACCCCTCCCCTCACCGGCCCCCTCTCTACCCTGACCCCCCCCCCATTCCTCCCCACCAGGACCCCCTCCCCTCTCCCGGTTCTGCCAGAGGGAGGAGCGGGATGGTGGGAGGGTGTATTCATCTAGTTGTATTCACCTAGTTGTGTTTTCGGGGGTTGAGCTTTGCTCTTTCGGCCCGCCTCTCAACTGTCACTTAACTGTTTACTAACTACTTTTTTTTTCCTCCACACACACACACACTAGGAAGCAGACCGTGACAGCTGACTAACTCCCAGGTTCCTATTTACTGCTAGGTAACAGGGGCATTCAGGGTGAAAGAAACTTTCCCCATTTGTTTCTGCCTCGTGCGGGAATCGCACCCGCGCCACAGAATTACGAGGCCTGCGCGCTATCCACCAGGCTACCAGGCCCCTGTGTGTGTGTGTGTGTGTGTGTGTGTGTGTGTGTGTGTGTGTGTGTGTGTGTGTGTGTGTGTGTGTGTGTGTGTGTGTGTGTGTGCGTGTGTGTGTGTGTGTGTGTGTGTGTGTACTCACCTATTTGTGCTTGCGGGGGTTGAGCTTTGGCTCTTTGGTCCCGACCAAAGTGTGTGTGTGTGTGTGTGTGTGCATGCGTGCGTGCGTGTGCGCATGCGTGCGTGCGTGTGTGTGTGCGTGTGTGGGTGTGTGTGTGTTATAAAAAGGCTCAAAGCTCCATAGTCATAGCGAAATTAATTACTCAAATGCACATTATATATTCACAAAAAGAGTCGCCTCATTTTAAATGATAAAACGCTCTGATTACACGAGCTTATGATTATAGACAGACACAGTGATCCCCCCATCATGATCTCTGTATATCCTACAATAATTACATGTCCTCGCATTGTATAATGCACGCCAACTATAAAAGGTCTCTCAAAAGGGGACAGATATGAAGAGAATCACATACAATAATACAAACAGAATTATTTAATGATCCATTTCGATTTAATTGGCCTTAAAATGCAACTTACTGAAAACACGAGAAAAAGAATAACATGACCCAGAGCACATGTTGATGGTGTTAAACTTATAGTGTATACAGTGATCACAATGCTAATGTGGCTTGACCCTGAAATGTTGTTGTCTTAACAAATTAAAAACCTATATATATATATATATATATATATATATATATATATATATATATATATATATATATATATATATATATATATATATATATATATATATATATATATATATATATATATTATGACCTTCTCTTGGGTAAATAATGCACAGTAATTTTGTGTAAACTACACCAATTATAAATGTACAAATTTATGAATAAATTATTGATTTTGAAATTGAATTTGGTTCGAACGCACGAGGGCGCTCGAATAATAATAATAATAATAATAAAAATAATAATAATAATAATAAATGTTTTATTCATACAAAACTTAGACAGAATGTATCACTAGTTTATGCTGTTCACATATTTATTTCAACTTTAATATTCTCTCTCTCTTTCTCTCTCAACACTCCGGAGTCAAAACACACTGAATACGTAACATTAAATAAAACTGCCTAAAATACATTATACGTGCGTGTATTTTTCAAATAATTTACAAAATTATTCTTGATAAACATTAAAGCTATATGAAATTACAACCAAATCTAAAGTAGGGGACAATATATATATATATATATATATATATATATATATATATATATATATATATATATATATATATATATATATATATATATATATATATATATATATATGTCGTACCTAATAGCCAGAATGCACTTCTGAGCCTA